AGAGAAAAGAAGCAACCATGAGAGAATGGACATTTGTCCAATGACTTCCTTGGAGACCAAGCATTTGCACCCTATAAATAAGGGGCTGCCAATAAGCAAAATACAGAACAAGGATGGAAGAGAGAGAGGAAATAAGAGAAAGAGAGAAAAAGATGGAAAGAGATGGACAGAGAGAAATTTATGAGATTTTGGGGTCAAAAATTAAATAGTGAATTTTACTTTCGATCATTATCAAATTAAAGTGACTTATTCGGGGTACTTCAAATTTCTTATCTGTTAAAGTTATTAATGATTTTGAGGTACAGGGTAGTATACAATATGCTTCTGTATTTTAAATCTCTTTGCAAGGAGTGTACTTTGATTATCTGATATTTATATTCCTATTGATTATTTTAATTGATTCGAAATTGTAAAAATTTTATCGGTTGACCTGTACGTGGGGCTAAATACTCTGGAAATAATTGGTACATGTACGAAGTGTTCTTGGGGCATAGTTGATAAAATGTGATTATGGCCCTGCGGGGTGCGATTGTGATTACAGCCCTGCAGCGTGTAATAGTTTGATATGAGTATGGAATTTAAATGCTCAAGTGTCACTTGTCATATCACCGAGAAGAACCGAGTATGAGGCTGTGTTTGATAGCAGTTGAGTTATGTGGCTTGTCCAATGTGATTCTTGATTTTGTTATCCACGATTCTTATCATCTGAATTATTTGATATTTGATCATTCATATTTTTCTCGTTGAGCATATTATTTTCTGTAATATTGTATACTTCCCCACTTTTAATATTTTTCATAATTACCTTAGAGGGAATGATCAAAGTTGATATTTGAGGAATTGAAAATGAACGAATCTCGATATAATTTTTAACTTTGTGGATTATTGTGGTGATATATAACTCCCGAGGGAGGGACCAAAGTGGAGATATGAGAAAGTTTCAAATTTATAACTTTGTGGGTTTAGAGTGATATATAATTTGAACAGATTCGGTTTTATGTTGAGGATATTATTTTTATTGGTATTTGGAGATCAAAATTATAATTATAAATTTATTGAGGCAATTAGAGCTTTGACCCTGTATTCAGAGATTTATTTATGGTTTACTATGATCGATCAATTTAATCAAGTATCCGGTCTAGGAAAACGAGGGCGTTACATGTCCCTTTGAGTCACGTGACCATTTTGGGGGCAAATTGGTCAAGTCTTTTTCTTCACGCTAGACAGATCTATAGTATTCCTTAGGTTAGATTTGACTGAAGGACTAAGATCGAATTTTTTGGATAGTTCCAAGCTATAAAGTGGGAATTTCCTTCAAGCTACAATATCGGATAGAAAAAACTAATTGCTCTGATTTTTTACCTCTTCGTTAAGATATCAATATGATTGAGATCTTTGGCAATATTGTCAGCTATTTTGTCCATTTGCTTCCTTGGAATATCAGACAAAAGAAGAATTCTTTGCCTCCTATCAATTTGCACGAGCAATGACAATAAGTGCCATAATGTATTTATAAAGTACTGAATTTAAGAGGATATGAAGCAATTACCTGGACGTAGCAGTGCCTAAGCGAACCGCAAACTCATGATATTTATTAAGCTGCTTTAAAATGAAGGTCAGATGACTATTAATTCCACAAATAATGATATGGTCCGTCTCTAGAACTTGCATTTGTGCTCCTTCCTTGACCCTTTGCATGTTAACCTGTCCAGATGCTAATCAGGAAGTAGGCCATGCAGGTAACTTTAGTAAAGGTAACTGCTTCAAGAGCTTACTCTGAACTGTTCTGTCATTGTGCTCAATAGACGCGTGTAAAACAGTATGCCCCATATAGCAAGAACAAAGCCAATAACACGTTCAACTCGAGTTCTTTGCTGCAGTTCAAAATTAAGAAATGTTTTGTAACTAAAACAGTCATTACTTCACCATTGCTTTAGAAACATAAAGTGAGCATTCACTTAGCTAGTGAAAAAATATTGGAATCATAGAAGAGAACCACACTCTTAAATGAGTAGATGATGAACAGAGGCATGCCCAAGCCTCCCAGAAGCAGTCCTCCAGAGATTGTGTATTATCCCTTTTTATTTCACAATGGAGATTCCCAAGTCAACAAAAAAAAAACAAAAATAAATTCAGCAAGGATCAATTACAACAAAAAACTAGATGACATATGGAAGAATGCAGTCAGCAAAATAATGGGTATAGGCAAAAACCAAATTGAAATTGATGGATATACATTAATACATGCCTATGTTGTGAAGCACCCTTATACCAAAGCAGATCTAAGATAAACAAACTCTGGATAACTTGATTCCATCATATGTGCCGTGAAAAAGATAACTTTGTCAGGGGCAATGTGCAACAGAAAAACATCCATCATTGCATCTTAATTTGGTATCACAATTAAAAAAAATAGACAGTACTTCTTACTGCATATGCAATACAAGAACTTAAGAAAACAGAGGAAAGGAAGGATTGCAAAGTTCTAATCTGAACAATCCATGGAAGAGACACATATTAATTCTAGTGAAAAGGATCAACAACGCCAATGACGCGTACGAACCTAAGTTCTGCATTATAACTAAGTTTCATTATCTTAAGATCTGCACTACTTAAAGATACCTCACATCATAATTGTTAAAGCATCCAACTCAAACAAAAAGCTAATAAGAGTTGGGGGGAGGGGCTCACAATGGGGGGAAAACAATCAATCTTGAGGCAACTGACATGAACACATAAGGATAATGAGATTCTTCCTGAATTTTGCATCAATAGTTAAATTTAATTGTAGCCACTTTCTGTTCCTTTATAATTTTATGAGACCTGAAGCCAACGAGCCAAAGTGAAAAAAGGGAGAAGTATTACTTGTAGCTTAGGCAATACAGCTACAGAAATTTAAAGCACTGAAATTGATCTGTAAGATGTTACAATTGTAGATTACCTGAATTTGAAGAAGAGTAAACCACCGATGACAACGAATGAGAAGCATGCCACAAGAAGAACGACAAAGAACCTAAAAAACATCAATATACAAAATTCAGCCTACACAAAGAGTGAAAGTGACTGCTAAAAAGCATTCATTTCATTAAGTAGACATATCTTTTGAGCTCTTTCAGAATAAAATGCATGAAACTGCACACACGTAACCTTTATGGGTTTCAATTAGTGAAAATCCTGCCAAAGACCGAGGAGATCTTAAATCCTTTCCTACCATCTGGAGACCGACCAAAACTCAAAAATTTGTTCTGAACGACATCCTCATGTAGGACATCAAATTCCGTGGTCCTTCCAATTTTTGTCGGCTCCTAAAATGTAAGCTACACCAATCTGACACCATTTCTACAGAAGCACATGAAAATGATTCCCATTTGTTTCATGGAGTTATTAATGCAGTAGCGGTGGAATGATGCAGTATGAGTGGCAAAAAATTTGATATTTTATTTGAATGTGATCAATGCCGGTCAATTTGAAAAATTTAATAGATTTTATTTTATTTCCTAAATTAATTAGGAAATTATTTTATTTTATTTTTTGATTCAATTAGGGTTTTATTTTATTCGGTTTCCTAATTTAATTAGGATTCTAGTTTCTTAATTGGTTTTAAGGTTTCTAATATTATATAAACTCTTATAAGCCTTAGAGCAAAACAATTTTTGATTGATTAATACAATTGAGAGAGTCTCACTTTTATTCTCAATTATTCTAGTATTCTTTGTGAATTAACAAATCAATTGAAGCCTTTAAAACTGATATTCTTTGTGAATCAACAACTCTAGAATAAGATTCTAATTCGGTATTTGTGTGCAAATCAACAGTTTAGTTTTATTATCCCATTTCATTCATTATCCATCCTTATTCAACCCGCTTCCTTGCATTATTTGGTATCAGAGCCCAATTACGTTCCTGTCACTATGTCGCCAAGAAAATGACCTATGGAAGAACTTTTTTATGCCAAGTTAAACTCAAGAGACTCGAGAATGCAACAAAAGTTTGGGGTATTAATTCAGCAGTTATCATCTTTAACTACCATTGTTCAACAACAACTACAAAACAGCAGTCGCAACAATCACAGTGGCGACCTCAAAATCCACAATTAGTGGAAGAGGAAAACAGTATAGTAAACTTGGATGAAATCCCAGAGAAGATCCGAGATTTTGACACCCAATCAGAAGAGGTCTTTTTTTATTGCGATTCATATTCTCTACGGTCAAAAATTGATTGGTGTATACCCCCAATATTCGATGAAGATTTGGAGAATGATTCTTTAATTCTAATAAAAGATGATGGTGAAGCACCAATGAATGGCGAATATCCGGTGGATGATCATCTTAATTGTAGCCACAATAATTGTGAAACTTTGATATATGATGAGTATTCGGAACATGAATATTTTTTAGATTCTACGACAAAAAATAGAGCCATGGAGGATGTAGCCTTCACAGATATGACTAGGCAATTGTCGTCGTTCTCTAGTGTGGGGGATGAAATCGATGAAACTACATGCCAAGAAAAAAATTGTGACGTGAGTGCAGTGAAGGCGATCTCAATTCATAGGAAGCCCATAGAAAAGTTAGTCAATTTCTTTGATGTCACACTTCTTTTTAGTGGATTCAAAAAATTTGATAACTATGGATATCGGGGTGATCGAAAGTTAAGTTCAAACACATATCAAAGTTTCAAGCCCAGATTCAATGGAATGGTTGAAAGCTTAAATTTAAACAAAGGCCAAGATTTCAAAATAAATTCGAGAACAAATTCTTTCCAACTTGGGGAGAATGATGCAATATGGGTGGCAAAAATTTTTGTATTTTATTTGAACGTGATCAATGCCGGTCAATTTGAAAATTTTAGTAGATTTTATTTTATTTCCTAAATTAANTTGTATTTTATTTGAACGTGATCAATGCCGGTCAATTTGAAAATTTTAGTAGATTTTATTTTATTTCCTAAATTAATTAGGAAATTATTTTATTTTATTTTTTGATTCAATTAGGATTTTATTTTTATTCAATTTCCTAATTTAATTAGGATTCTAGTTTCTTAATTGGTTTTTAGGGTTTCTGCTATTATATAAACTCTTGNAATTAGGAAATTATTTTATTTTATTTTTTGATTCAATTAGGATTTTATTTTTATTCAGTTTCCTAATTTAATTAGGATTCTAGTTTCTTAATTGGTTTTTAGGGTTTCTGCTATTATATAAACTCTTGTAAGCCTTAGTGCAAAACGATTTTTGATTGATTAATAAAATTAAGAGAGCCTCTCTTTTATTCCCAATTCTTTTGGTATTCTTTGTGAATCAACAAATTAATTGAAACTTTTAGAACTAGTGTTCTTTGTGAATTAACAGCTCTAGAGTAGGAGTTTAATCTGGTATTTGTGTGCAAATCAAAGGTTTAGTTTTATTATCCCCTTTCGTTCATTATCCATCCTTATTCTACCCATTTCCCAGCATCAGTTATACAAGGNTGAATCAACAAATTAATTGAAACTTTTAGAACTAGTGTTCTTTGTGAATTAACAGCTATAGAGTAGGAGTTTAATCTGGTATTTGTGTGCAAATCAAAGGTTTAGTTTCATTATCCCCTTTCGTTCATTATCCATCCTTATTCTACCCATTTCCCTGCATCAGTTATACAAGATCTTAGTGGAAGAAAAGATTATGGCAGAATTTTTGTGGAACTGTCACTGTAAGGATCCTTTGAGAAATCTACATTTTCCAAGGAATCAAGTACTCAAAAGAAACATATCTAATTGGACTTGGCTAAAGGCATTATATGTGGATGTACTTCAAACAAAATATGGATGTGAAAATATTCTCCAATTTCACCTTTCACCTACTTCTAAAGTCAATAAGAACACTANGTACTCAAAAGAAACATATCTAATTGGACTTGGCTAAAGGCATTATATGTGGATGTAATTCAAACAAAATATGGATGTGAAAATATTCTCCAATTTCACCTTTCACCTACTTCTAAAGTCAATAAGAACACTAGAACAGAGAATGTACAAAAATGTTGCCCTTGCATACCTGGGAAAGTTCTCAAAAGTTTTACTTTTGAATATCGCATAAACTTCTGAACCAATGAAAAAAAGAAAAACGAATAAGGTCTCATATTTGTCTCAGCGTTCTCCGATGTAATATAATGTATTGTTCTTTGCTTTGTGCAACATCCAATCAAAGATAAGACACATGCTGTCCTTACCTTTAATTTGTGCTGTGGAATGTCATGCAATTTGGTATCCACATAGATAGAAATTATAGCAAGGCCCACTTCAAAGGAAAGGAATCTGCATATTTTTCAGATAAGTGGACTCAACAGTAATTTTAGTTAACATGGCAGCCTTATGCCGCCAGTTGATTGGTCTTGTCTTTAAGGAATTTTAATTAAAATAATACTCTTCACTGGACTAATTGTAACTTGCCATTTCATAATAGAAGGAAACCACCTATAATCTGAAAAGGCTAATACTAATAGAATAGTTCTCATTGAAATTGGTGAATGAATGCATTAAAAACATTGGTGATATGAGTAAACCTACAGAAGCCATCTGATAGATTGGATTACTATCTCCAACTATGTAACTCAGACTCTAACTATAAGGATTTATTCCCACATAATGGTAAGTGCATAAACACAAAAATTCAAGTAGTATAATGGGCAACCTTCAATGCCTAAAATTCAATGATGACACGTGCCTTTATTATATAAAAATAAAGCAAGGCCATCCGCCAATGCATCTTTACTTTCCAAATGAATACACTTACAGCTTTACCATTCAAAAATATGATGCCATGTCGATGTTCATCTTTTAAATGCACAAAACAGGAGATCTATGAAAAAAGGACTTAAAACAAGCTCCCATCGGCTTCACTTACGTGGCAACATTTCTTTCAACTTGTATGTTGAATAAATAAATGAACCGTGCAAAGTTCCATCGAATATCTTGAATTGAAGGCAAAGATACATCCAGTTGAAGAGGTGTGGGTTTAATCGATGAATTTGACATGCAAGCAAAAGGCAACCTTGGAGCTGCAAATGTTTGGATTGCACGGAGAATTATGTCTTGGACCAGACTTGTCGTCATATGTGCAGAATTTGATTGTATCAATCTGACCAGGATATAAGATGAAAGGATTGCTAACATGAATTTAGCTTGGCACTCCTGCAAATTTCAGTAAATCAAAACAATCGTAAGTTACAAGAGTAACTAATGATTACTACGAGCAACAAGGCAGTAGATAAAACTATTAGTTCATGCTCTTGATCAGTTTGTCCTTTCTATACATTATCTTGACAATGACCAAAATGCATACAGATGTGGTACACAGCCTTGTATATTGAAGCAGATACAAGTAGTTTTAGAGTTGAACACAATACAATCCTGTGTCCAATGGATTATGGAGCAAGATTTCAACAGCAGAGCATTCTAACAATTTTCATATATTGAAGCACTTAAGATTGTCAATTTTAAATAAGGGGTCTACAACATAGGATGGAAATTGAAAGAAAGTATAAAAAAAATGAAGCACATAACTTGAAAATGTAATTGGCACCCAAGAAACGAACATTTGGTTAACTGAATCACACTAATGACCAGTGTTTTAAAACCTGGCCCGGCCCGGCGGGTTGACCCGGTGAACCGGTCCCATAACCGGGCCGGTTTTGTAATTTGACCGTTTGAGCAAAGAACCCGGAATAAAACCGGTGAACCGGTCAAAACCGGACCGGGTTTACAAAACCAGCCGGTTTTGTTCCTTTAGTATAAATATGTTTTTTTTTTACATTTTTGTGTCTTTTTCTTTTCCCCTTCTGTTTCGCCCTAAATCCTAAATCATTCGTTCAGTGTTTGTTAGCTCAAAAATTAAGTGAATACAATTAAGTAATTCAAGTTTGAGGGTGGAGGTTGGGCTGTTAATTGAATGCAATTAAGTGATTCAAGCTTGATAACTTTGTTTGATTTAATATATATTAAACATGTTATTTTTATAATTATTTTAATTTTTTAGTCTATTTATCATCATTAATAATTATTTTTTATTTTTTTATTATATCACCGGTTCGACCAGTGACCCAGTGGTTGAACCAGAAATCCATTGACCCGGTCCCTTCTCCGGGTTGGTGTCCGGGCCGGGTTTTAAAACTATGCTAATGACATTCATATAGTGGTTTTAAGAAATGTCATAGCTATCAATTCAGCTAAATATTTGTGTTGAATTAGAATATCTACTTCAATTCAAATTGTGATTAGAAAACTTGTCATAATTACTGCCAGAAAGAGCATATCGAACATGCAGAATTTATTAATCTTCGATGAAAGACACTAAAGATGCATGTTATTGCCCTAGTAACAATGGCATACATATATAAATGTGTGTGACATTTAGCAGGGCTCTTTGGCAAGTCACCATCACTCTCTCCGGGATAAAGTTTTTATTACATATTTTTGGTACATTCTTGGAGTTATAACCTCTCGACTTTGAAGTCCTCATAAAGTTTGACAAGCATCTACTGCCTCCCATCTTCAGGATACATTTCTTGTCAATGTTGTTCTCCTTCATCTATGTAGTTGGTTTCCACTGGTTAGTTCAAGTTCCTTTTCTTCAGTCTTACCCTCCTTGATTCATGGTCAGCTCCCATTGCTCTTATATAAGATAGTTTTCTCATCCTTCTTTGGAAGCCAAGCCACTCTTGACATCATTAGTAGAAGCTGTTTCTTGTCAGAGAATAAAGACTCCAAATACAAGTGATTTTAATTTCAAACTATATAGAACATTTGGGCCAGTAAATGCACCAAATTAAAAACTGCAAGAAACTATGGCCTCTGAAATACTATAAAAACTGTATTGAATGTTACAAGAAAAAAAAATTATGTAACCATTTTAAAGACACCACACGGAATGAGCTTCAAAACAAAACTTGAAACAGCAACTTTTGGTGCCCAGATGCCTATCATTGAATGATTGAATGCTCACCTGAGAACTACTTGTGAGGTCCATCTTCAAGAATTTAGCACCCAATGTGTTGGAAACATTCAAATTTGTAGGGGAACCTGACTTGTCGTGTGTTCTCAAAGAACTGGACTCCCATTTTCCTGGAAATTGATGAGTGAATAAATATTTGCACACCTTAGAAAATGTGGAGGATATGAACTAACACCAAAAATAGGAGAATGATACATTCTCTTACTAACGAGAATGAAGCTCTTGTCTATGCTACTTCACACAAATATGCAAGAAAAGTACTCAACACCAACAAAATGTGATGAATACAATAACATCTGCCCCCTACCAGCTTCCTTTGTAATATCCGACTATTGACAAAGAGTGGAAAGCTTACAGGGCTTGATGGAGACATATACTTGCCTTGGCATTAAAGGTAGATAAATTAAAGAGAGCATTTTTTGACAAAAAAAATTAAGCGCCAAAGTGGCAATCATTTGATATGTAGTAATTACTCGTAAAATACAAGATTGCTCCAAAAGTTGGCGAGCAGACTTCCTCGCACTATGATTTTAAACATGAATTATGGCCCCAAACTAAAAAATTAAGTGTTGAACCCAATCGGACCCAATGGCACAGGGGCCCATGTCTACAAAAGCTACTATCCGTTACAAAGAGATCATATGTAGTCTCAGTCTTCTATGTAATACAAATTCCAAGAAAAAATCAAAAGATTAGGAAGCGCACTTTTCTGTAACATCACCATCACATCATTTAGTCACAAAGTTAAAGGATTAAGAAAGTAGGCAGACAAGTGTATGTAAAGCGCCATGGTATGGCGAGGAAGTGCAAGGAGAAAAGCGTTATTTTTTGCTGCTTCCCAACCTTATACTGCCTGAAACCCAAATCAAAACCATTAATCCTCCCTAGGGCTGCCGGCAGCCCCAGTGCACATGACCGTAAAATCGAACACTACTTGGCCCAATCAAATAGTTACAATAACAATAATAACAAAGTTACCTCCCAACTAGATCATAAGAAGTATTTGTTATAAGCCAAAGGTTAACTAAACAAGGAAAATCTTAATCATTTGGGACCATAAAACTCACTCCAACAAGAGGCATATCCCTAACAGTTGCAAGCAGTTATGCCTTTCCTCACCTGTCAGCTTCTCCTTTTAAAGCCCTCAAATAAAATAAAAACCTTTGATCTTCAGTAATCCAATAAGTAAATCTCATTGCACATAATAGTACCATCTATCACAACTTGCTCTCAACTATCCTTAGCAAAAGCCACCTCCAACTTCTACCAACGCATTGAGTTTGGTGTTCAGTCATCTACCGCGATTGACAAAGAAGCAAGGGGGACTTCCTGCTCATACAGTTAGCAAGCTTTCCCGTTCCCGTGTAGCATGCTTGGCCCTATAACAATCTAAAATCATTTTCACAGGCTACAAAAGTATTCCAAAATCACAGTGCACTTAGAAGGTGCTCCAGCTCTACTTTGGTGGCAACATCCTCTTCACCCTTTCCTGTTGAGGTTTGACAAATGATCTATTTAAGATGATGAGGGCATGACGTGAGCAATCCATTGGGTTACAATACTATTGCTTCATTTCTTTAAATTCCAATAACCAGAAAAGATGAATAAGCAAAAGACTTCCTCTATTCAACTGGAGGAAGAATTACAAAACTTGTACATGAAAAGACACAAAAGGAGGGTCAAGTAATTGAGTTCATGCACTTACACAGTTACACCAAGGATGAAAACCAACAATAGGCATTGCATTGCCATAGAGTTCATGAGAGGAAAGAGGACCTCAAAAATTTAAAAATCAATATACGTGTTGAAGGAATCAAGGAGATTCTTGAGAAGGTGAACTTTGACAATGGGATAACATAGTGAGCTGTAATCTATTCAATTTTACAAATTTTTATCCTCGTGCACTCCAGCAAACTTCTCCATCCCAACGGCACACCTGCCATTGACTTGGTAATGAAGGCATCAGATGCTACATACATTACATATATTGATGGGCATTCCGAAGCAAAAACCTAAAACCAGAGTAAAATTACCAATGTCAACTATATAAAATTTTGCTCACAAATATTTGTTGTTGTTATGGCTGCAACTGCCCTGAATTATAAGTTTTTCTCTTAATCTTTACAAGTACCAGTAACATATATTGAACACTACTTACAGAAAATCAGAGGGTGTAGACAAGGAGAGTATATGGGATGAAACAAATTAACTGGGTTTCAAATAATAGTTTGAGCAATAAAAAGAGCCTGTTGTTATTTCACAAACCATGCATTTATGTGACCAGATCAAATTGTTTATGCCGGGAAGAGTATAAATAAGAAGATACGTTGTTACAATAGCAACTGAGCATACAGGTAATATAGATTGGCGACCTCTCCAATGGGACCACTAATTACTCCAAAAAGCTTAAGTTATTAGAAAATTAGCCCATTATGTATATCAAGATCTTAGCAATACATGCACCAATGACTTTAGCAATAAAGTAAGAATATATGCTTCTTTGAACACCAACCAGTCCTCTTGTGTAGAAAATTTTCAAGGTCGTAATGACATGGTAACCACATATACAATAGGAACTGTACAATGATAAACATAATATATATTTGATCAACTAACAGACCTAATTACATGCTGTTCGTCATGTGGGATTTTATTCTGTTTTTGCAAGAGCTTTTCAGAATCGCTTAACTTAGTTCAGAGATGGCTTATTTGGATCAGCACTGAGGCGGAACCTAGCTCACCTAACATCTGAGTATTCTACACTTCATCTCTTCAAGAAGTACACAAACAACAGTAAACTGAACAAGGTATTGTTCTGTAGTTCAATTTTTCCAACATAGGCTATTCAAAACTCACCACCATTACTCATTAAAAGATTACCCGTATGTAGTGCGGAAGATTGGATCCACCACCACGGGCATTGCATTGTGTTTCTGAAAATCATAACATCAGCTTCAGATTCAGTAAGCTCTACACCTCTAATATAACTGATGTAAATGTATAAAAAACACAAATCTTGATCAAAAAGTGCTTCAGCATACAATAGATGAGATATGAATCCTCTAATTTAAAGTACACATTTTTTAACATTGGGATTCACATCTTACCTCACCTTGTTACAAATCCATTATGGTAATGAAACACAGAAAACTGACAGACTAGAACTCTAAAAATGCATATATATAAATACATATGTGTGTGTGTGTGTGTGTAGAGAGAAAGGGAGACGGGAGAGAGAGAGAGAACTCATCAACTTCATCTAAATGGCCATAATTTGCAAGGATTAGGCATATCGCAATGACCAAATGCTATACGTGATTCAAAAGTAGACCAAATAAATCATTCAAATTAATTATGTCCTTTCAAAACAGATACAAAAGTTTTGCCAAAATTATTCACAAACCTAAATTTTAAAAACTCGAAATCAAAACACAAGTGGTGAAATATGAAGAACTTTTGCACATGCATATATGAATGTGTATATATATATGTATAGATAGATAGAAAAAGAGTATTTAACACAAACCAAAATAGAAACTTCAAGAACTTGATTGAACTTGGCAATATAAAGATGACATAAAAAATTAANACTTCAAGAACTTGATTGAACTTGGCAATATAAAGATGACATAAAAAATTAATGGGTCACCTCTTGGAAGGAAAATTATGGTTGACTCGTGAAATCCTCGGAGAAATCCACGGGCGATAGCTATGTAGCTGAAGCATCTCTCTCTCTCTCTAGAACAGGTGAACAGAGTGAAGAAAATCAAACAGAGAGTGATTCAGAGTATATCGNACGGGTCACCTCTTAGAAGGAAAATTATGGTTGACTCGTGAAATCCTCGGAGAAATCCACGGCCGATAGCTATGTAGCTGAAGCATCTCTCTCTCTCTAGAACAGGTGAACAGAGTGAAGAAAATCAAACAGAGAGTGATTCAGAGTATATCGAGATGGAGGCTTTACAGACTAGATGTATTCAAATGAAAGGGCAATGGTCCCATTTAATATAATATTCAAGAAACTAAGAAAGTGATGTTTCTTTTTATCGGAAAAGGAAAAAATTAATGAGTGCTTGAAGTGGTTATTCTCCTGCGTAATCAGAGAAAGTGATGAAGTGGACCTGACACTGATTTGTCCACTGTGCCTGTTCATTGACATAATGCCATTCTTAGGTTCATGTTCTCCAAAGTGTTTTTTTTTTTTTTTTGGGTAAATTACACTCACACTCCTTGACATTTGATAAAATAATACGGAGACCCCCTAATATTTCTAAAATTTCACAGAAGCCCCATGAGATTTAAAAATCATGACACAAACACCCCTTCAGTCTTCTTGTCGTTAATTTGACTAACAGAAAATAGTGATGTCAAGGAACAAAATTTATCTATTTCCAAAATTACCCCTTTATAACATGTCTAACATTTTCTAAGACAATCTTGTCCACTAATTATCAATAATTTACCATTTTAACAACATTAATTATGCAATTATAAAAATTAATCAAAATTTAACATTAAACCATTAGATTTTGATTAATAAAAAATGCAATCAGCTAGGATAATTAGTGGACAAGATTTTTATTAACAGAAAATACCATCTAAAAGGGGGAGAGAAAAGAAAGAAAGAAAGGGGTTAGGAGTGGTGGTTATGGTGGTAGTTGGATGGGGTGTGGTGGGGTTTGTTATAGGGGGGCAGAGGGTCTGAAAGGGAAAGGAAAAAGAGAGATAGAGAGAGAAAGAAGTGGGTTGGGAGTGATGGTGGTGGTGGCAACTAGGTTTGGAAGGCTGGGTGTGGTAAGGTTTGTTGTAGGGAGGGAGGCAGGGGCGGGGGCTTGGGGGATCTGAGAGGGAGATAGAAAATAGGGGTAGAGAGAGAAAGAAAGGGGTTGGGATTGGTGGTTGTGGCAGTTGGGGTTAGGTGGGTTACAGGGAAGGGCGGGGGCCCAAGAGGGATCTGTGAGAGAGAAGGGGGGTTAGGAGTGGTGGTGGTAGTTAGGGTTGGATGGGTTACAGGGAGGGGCGGGCCCTAAGGGGATCTGTGAGAGAGAGGGGTTAGGAATGGTGGTGGTGGCGGTGGTAGTTGGGGTTGGGTGGGTTACATGGAAGGCGGGGCCTAAGGGACCTGTGAGAGAGGGGGGTTAAGAGTAATGGTAGTGGTGGTGGCAGCTCGGTTGAGTGGGTTAGGGCAAGGACCAAGGGGATTTGAGATAGAGATAGAGAATCGGGTTAGGGGTCTGGGGGATTTGTGAAAAATAAAGAGAAAGAGAGGAGTTGCAGATTGGTAGAAAGAGAAAGAGGAGGAGGAGGAGGATGAATGATGGCAACGGCAGTAGGGTGGGATAAGGGATGAGTGAGAAATGGGGTTAGGGGCTTGAGCATCTGTGTGTGTGTGTAAGAGAGAGAGAGAGAGAGAAGGAGGAGGAGGAAGAAGAGTTACAGGTTGGTAGAAAAGAGAGAGAGAGAAAAGGAGGAGTGGTGGCAGCGACGATGGTCAGGTGGGGGAAGGGATGAATGAGAATTCAAGATAGATTTTTTTTTTACTTATTAATTTAATTTTTTGTAATATATTTTATTTATTATATATTTATTTTAAATTAAAGTCAAAGGGTTAAAAAAGTTATTTATTATTTATGTTAACGTCGATCATTTATTGACGCCGATAAGAGGTCTTAGTGTAATTTTAACAATGTCAAGGAATCTTTATGTTATTTAGTCAAATGTTATGAGATACGAGTATAATTTACTTTTATTTTTTATCCGTTAAGAAACCCCCACCAACTTAACTCATTTGAATTCGTGGCCGATGGTTAATCGGGCTCACGCACAAAAATTAAATCTAGGGGATGTGATCTCAAGAAACATATTCATTTGTATCAAACCCATAACAAATAACAATTTGAAGCATCTATCATGTGGTTGGCTACAATTTTGACTTCTTATTTTTTTTTATTTTTTCTTATAATGTGTTGAGGGTGTTTAATGATAATTTCTCGATTGGTGTTTAGTGGTAATTTCTCAATTGGATTTAGATCCCTTTTAATATTTTTTTTATCAAATCATTTATAATTAATAAGTGAGAGTTGCATTTATATAAAAAGAGACCCTCCACTATCTGCTATGATTCTTATAGCTACTATGGTAATAGTTGGTGTTTTCATGATAGCAAGTTACTCCCCTTTATTTGAATATCTACCTACGATTTTGGTTGTTGAGTTATCACGTTATTCCTTGCAACAACCACTGGAATATTACAAAAAAATCTAAAGATGGTCATAACTTATTTAACTTTTAGTCAATTAATCTATATGATCTTCACTTACGGTATCTCTAACTATTTGGTTAGCATCTTTCGAGTTCGGTGATTCATGTCATGCCATGTCGGAAGAGCAAGATATGCGGAAGATGGGGGGCTTGCCTCCTCCTTCCTTTTTACCTATGCCATGATACTTTCCCATTGGAAGGTGATATGATGTTGCACAACATCTAAGCAAACTTGAATTACATTTAAAATGATCGATTGAATAGATGTTTATCATACCATTACATATTTAAACCTACAAATACTGGAAGCCAATCCCCTAGCGGTCTAGCCACCATGACGTACAACGAGAGGGTGGAATCTTTTATTTCTTGCATAAAAACAATAGACGGATACATCTGTTCGTTTGGATAGAATTAATTTGCTTAAGACCAAAATGTTCGCTTAGTGATAATAATAACATGTTAGAGATTCTTCATACTTTGAGCCTTGACCAATTGAAACATTTAAAATAATTGAAAAATAAAAAGTCCAAAAGAAAGCACCCTTATTTTATGTAGGGTGCTCTAGCCACTGATCTTCAATGCTACCCCATCCAAGATGTTTCACGTTTCAAGGTTGAGAGTACTTTATGAGTGTGCGAAAGTGTATTTTAAATATTTTATTATTAGATTAATATGTTAAAATGTGAATAAAAATAATTAGATATAATTTATATTATTGAATTTAATATCTATTCACACTGAAATATATTTGAGCATGACTTTATAATATTTTAAATTGTAAATATCGTATTATTGGTTGGTGAGAGATAATTTACAATTAAATTTTACACTTAACATTTTTTTGGACTTTATTATTCGACTTTTATATTTATTTTTATTTTAATGATAACTCATGGAGTAAAAAGGCTAAAATTGATACTACTGTCAAGTGGGCCATCACTCAGCAGATTTGGGCTTTGACTTCCCAAATACATGCAGTGTGGGCTTTCAGGGTTGAAATAGAAAGACTAAAATAAAGAGAGGTTGAAATAAAAAAGTTACAATAAAGGGAGGAAGAAAAGATTTTTTTCAAAAAAAAGATTGACTTTTAAAACCTTTGAGACGTCTGTTACTTTGACAGAGGGTGGCGGCTGTTCTTTTCTTGGCTTGGGGGGCTGACGCAGATCAGAAAAATTGCCGATGGCCGTCGATTTGTTTTATTTTTTTGAAAGATTTTTATTATCTATTTTATTATTTTTAATTTATTATTGATGTTTTTTTTTTCGAATAATCATAGAATTTCTTTTATTTATAAATTTATTCAAACTTTTTCTATTGAATGAATTAGTTCTTTGAATATGTTTGAATCAATTATTTATTTATATTGATTTATTTTTTTGCCGTAATATTACTTCTTGAGTATATTGTCATCGTTGAATTTTCTCAATAATGATAATAATTTACATATTTTTAAAGTGGTGAATGATTTTTTAAAAGGTTACATTTAGTTTAATCTTGGTTTATAAATCTATACCTTCCGGTTAGAAATTTTGGTAATTGAATTCTCAATTAAGTTATTCAATGAATTAAAAATAATTAGAATATCAGATTTGTGCAAAGAATTTTTCGAGATTTACTATTTATCAAATTTGAGTACTTTTTATGTTAGTTACTTTGCTTCACTTTAAGTTATATTTAAAATTAATTTTTATTTTCTTGTAATCATTTAATATTTTTCTTTAGTTTTTTTGTTCATTCTACTATTCTTTTAGTTTGTCTCTCTGTGCAATCAACACCTCAAAGCTGTGCTATAATTATCATGTTATTCTTTGGCCGTATGAAAGGAAATTTGGAGTTGTCTACTGCATACATCTTTTTTAGTGAATTGGGCAGCTAAACCATGAATAACCTACTCCATGCAACACAAAGAGTTATGAATGCCATATAAGCCTTTCCATCAAATGTAGGATTGTTAAAGGAATTGAATAGTTCAAGCTTGTCTCATTTTTTGCTCATTTAAACTTGTCTTGCATTAAAAAAAGAGCTTGATACAATGGAATTCTTTGACTCATAATATTCAAGCCAAATTCAAACAATGTGTCATCTAGCTTCGGCCTGGGTTCAATTCATTAATAATATTATTTTGTAGTAAAACTAAGAAAATAAATTAGCATAATTAGGTTAACAACTAAGGTGTTTTGAGTTCTAACCAAGAGTTTTTTGGGTTTGAGCCTTTATTGTGTTATTATTTTTTCAATTTACTCATGCCTCGAGCTCATACGAAAAAAAAAATCTAAGTCAAATCAAATCTAAGCCTACAACCTAGTATTTATGCCTTGATGTTAATGTTATTTTGTTGTTGCAATGACTCGAATGTCCAATGTTGTATAATAATCAATAGTTCCTTCCTTTTTTTTTTTCTTATGGGCAATTTTAAGTGTGATTAAAAAGACAATCGGGTGTACCAAGTTCTCACCGCTGCAAAATCCACGGAGAGTTAGATTCTTGTAACCTTCGATCACAACATACAAAGAAGAATTTTTTGTGACTTAAAAGATTAGTGTCCAAAGATAAATTATAATGAAGCAATTTTATCATAAAATTGAGTATGCATATCAAATAACTCTTAATAGTAGTTCAAGTAATAATATGAACGAGTTGTAACCTAGACACTCTGAGTTTGAATCTTGACAATTTGTTTGGGTTTATCTTT